CTCATAGGCTATCCTGGAAGGCTAAATCAGATTGATGATTACCACTGTTTTTTCATTCAACACAGAGACGTTTCTCCTGTGTGGTGAATGTGTTACTGATGTCCTTCCCACATATGAAATCAATCACTGGTGTGGGCCTGAGAACATAATCACATGGATATGAACCCGCTGAATTGCCGGGGCCAAAGTCTGATGTGAACGGTAAGCAATCAGTAACCGCCTCTTCTCGCTAACAAATCACTGATGCACCCATAGGACTCAAGTCCTATTCGGATATCAAGAGCCCCATCTGCTGGTCATATGGGTCTGAGCCACAGCATCTGGAGAAACTTGCATCAATCAGACTAGGAAAGATGAAAAGGACTATCAAATGGGATAAATGCCCAGAGAGCAACCCCTTCTTTAATTTATCTCTTGGCTCAAATTCCACCAGATTCATCTAGAAGAAAACTGACCTTCCTGGTTTCTGCCACATCTCCTCTACTGGACCAGAGTTCTTTTTGAGCTGTTTTCCATGTTTAGCAAAGGTAGACAGTATTAGCAAAGCATCCACCCTTACACAAGGGCCCCTACTTCCAGCCTCCAGGGTCATTTTCTTCCGTGTCTTCAGGCCTCGAGTTCCCTCAAGGTCTTTCCATGACCTATGGTCTTCTAGAAAACTTGCCCATTTGGTTTTCATCTCTATCGCAAGATCCTGCCACTTTCCAACCAAAGCAATGATTCCATCTCTTATCTCTCACTACATAAAAGCCACCCTTAAACCTAGCTCCAAGTCCTGGAAGCCAGCTGGGGCTCCACTAGGCGGTCCTCCCTTGGGTATTCTCAGACAGCTGCAGCTGGAGGACAGCCGGGTGTGGGGCCCTGGGCCCAGCAGCTGATGGAGTGGTCAGTTCCAAGCTCAGCGGGTGTTGACAGGATCAGCTTCATTTAACTTCTCATGTGGTTTGGGGTTCTTACAATCATGAAGCTGGCTTCTCAGAGGGCACATCCCAAGAAGTAACCTTCTAAGAGGCAGGAAGCAGAAGCTGCCAGACTTGCTAAATGACCCAGGACTGGCATGGTGACACTCCTGCCATCCTCTGATCAAAACAGTCACAGGGTGAGCACACTTCTCTGTCTAGGGCAATTGGGATGGTTGCTTTGCATAAACCATGGGTAAGAGCTCCTGTTAGGTCATGTTTGGAAACAACAATCATCCTGGTTAAAATAAAACAGTGAATTGCAGCTTCTCCAATGCACTCAAGTGCTCATACCCTGAGCGTTGCTTAGATTGGCACTCACCCTCTGCTGTGAGGAGGCGATGTTCCGAGGAGGACCAGTGACAGACACAAGCACTGCCCAGCATGTGCGAAGGCTCACCCCTGACACACGCTCCAAAGACAGACTGTGAAGAGGGGCTGTCATCCATTCCACCAGGCAGCTCCTTGGCCTTCAGTCGAGTGGTATCAGCCTGCTTAGAAACTCTTTCCACCCTGCGTAAATCTCAAAAACGCTGTGAAGTGGACATAAAAATAAGAGCAGACTTTCCGTAGTTCATCATATTTATCACACATGCCTGCGCGTGCGCATTTCCACCACTCCCACGCCCAGAGGAGGTACAAACATGTATTAAATACAAGGATAGCAATGACGAGAAGCCTAACTCAAGGAAGCTCAGACCCTTCGAAAGCATCTTAGGCAGCCAGGAAGGGTGCACTAATTCACTTAGTTCTTAGACCACTCAATGATGCTACCTCTTGGAGAATGTAAGTATTCGCCAAAGGTGGCAATGCTGGCCATTGGAAGAGCTGAAATACAGGTCCATGGACTAGCAACTCATAGTATTAGTGAAGCAAGTAGCTTTTGGCAAGTGTTTTAGCATTTGGAACTTCAGGGAAGACACTATGGAGCTCTGAAGAGCAGGCTTTGCCACGGTAGCAAGGCATCTCAGTCTGTGCAAGCTCTGGACTCAACTTCCACCTGGGCAGGAGCTGTACGCTTCCTGTTCACCTCGAGTCATCCATTGTCTGGCTCTTGCTTTTTTGACTCAATCAATGCACAAGTCTCATTTCTTTGCTCAGGCTGATCTGCACTTGAAAGATTACAGCATACGTCAGAAACAACTACTGTACTGCCTAGAGGAGCTCCATTCCAACTCAAAATTCTTCTCACTCTGCCCTTCTGTCATGAACTTCGTATTTCGTAACACAAATAAACATTAATGGTGATTACAACACAACCATCTTTTCTCATTTTCAGGTTTTCTCTCTTTCTCTCCCCCCCAACATCATTTTCAAGTTTTCTGTTGTTTTGAGACAGGGTCTTCCTATGGAGCCCAGGCTGACCTTGAACTTGCTTCAATACTCTGCTTCCGTGTCCAGAGTGCAGAGATGATAAGCATGTGTCACACCTGGCTCTCATTTATAGTCCTGCATATAGGACATCTTTATAAATCTGAGATAGTTCACCTCAACTGTTCATTTGCTGAGATCTCAAATCGCCTGCTCAAGACTATCTTGGTTAGGTAACTGAGGTCAGAAGAGCTGTCCCCTGTGTGTGTGGACTCTGTGGGGTGGTCCTGGACAACGTAAAAAGGGAGAGTCGACTGAGGGGCCCAGCAGAGCGTCACCGATCTCAGCTGTGTCACTGGGAAGTGACCCAGTGTTTCCAGCGTCCCCTGGCCTGGGTTCCCCACCAAGTGAACCCTTGAACTGCGAACCAGTTTTCCTTTACCAAGCCACAGAAGGGAACTAAGACAAACCATTCATAATGTGTCACACACCTACCCCTTGAAGAAAGGATTCAGTGTAGAGTGTGGCAAGATGGTAAGCCCGGTGGTTAGCTTTATCAAGTTTACCCGAACTTCCTAGTCATATGCTACTCTTGAGGTGACCTCCAACGACCAGTGTCTAGCCACTCCTACCTGCCACACTGCCCTGACAGGCAAGCTTTGCTCTGGAGCTCTGGCCTGCCCGCCCATGATGCCTGGCATCATCTGCCGGCGTTTCCTGTCTAGTTCCCCTCCCTTCCATTTCCTTTTGTACGAGTTATTCTCCACAAAACCATTTGATGCCTTTGAGCACCGTCTTCTGGGAGAGCCGCGTGGTAAGTCTCCAGTCCGGTAAGGAAACTCACTGTACGCTCCTCCTAGTAAATAATGCTTAGCAGTTTTCCCACACACTGTGATGTTGACTCCTGCCACCTAAAATATTTTATGTCTAGTATAGATCATTTTCTTCGTTTCTTCACATAAAAATCATACCTTTTGCCAACAAAATGTTTCATACAATTGACTATATGCTTCAAAATATTGACTTAAATATTATTTCACTTAGTAAGTATTTTACTGTACTGGCTAAAGAAATGATTACCCAGGGTTGGAGAGATGGCTCAGTGGTTAAGAGCACTGGCTGCTCTTCCAGAGGACCTGAGTTCAATTCCTAGCACCCATGTGTCAATTCACAACTGTCTATAACTTGTTCCAGAGGATCTGACACCACACAGACATAGATGCAGGCAAAACACCAATGTACATAAAATCTGTTTTTAAAAGGTACATGTTAAAAAAAAATTACCCAAAAAAGCTAATTTTGAGATAGAACTAGACCGTCAGTGTAGCACCACCTAGTGGTTTGTAGTAGGAACTGTTACTTCCCCATCAAGGCGACCTCGCTGTATTGTTGGTATTGTCCACCCAACTTGAGGTTTCAGAAGATGGTCCATTCCTACTGGACCAGGCCTTGAACTCTGATGGGGATGGATGGGCCAGTTTTCCTTCTCAAAGCTTAACGCACGGGCACCCGTTTCCTCTGTGCACATCACCGGTACCCATGGTTCACTTTGCTGTTGTACCTGAGTTTGTACCTCTGATCTACTGACCACTGAATGGCAGCTCTGCAGGGCGGAGCCTTTGTTCATCCCATGCTCAAAGCTCTCTGAATGGATGGATGCATCTTTATCAGTGAGTGGCTGGCTAACGATCACCCTTGGAACTAGAAGGCGTAGGAGACTCAACTGAGGGAGTCTTACTGGAAACTTGCAGATTTTATGATTAGAACGAATTGAGCTAAGAGGCCATGACCTGTCAGAGAACTGAAAGACCTGGCCAGAAAAAGTATACAGTCCTGGTCCTGGTCTAGGGGTGTTCAAAGCGTGTTACTGAAAACCAGTGTGAGACGGACTGTTCTACCATCACAGCTCTGATGAGAGCATGCAGCTGCTCTTGGTAACCATAGGAATGCGGGGCTGTTTCCTCAGGAAGCACCCTCACGATCCCAGCAAGGGGCACAGTAAAGGAATTGCTGACATGATCCCTTCATGGTATGGTTAAGGTTTCTGTTGTGAGTAAGAGAAAACACCCACAGGCATCTGAAGGAGTCCAGACAGAGAAGGACTGGACATGCAGGGCTGGGGAAGTGGGAGGGAGGGAACAGTGGAGACCACAGAATAGAGCATGGGGAGACAGAGAACTGAGAGAAGGTTGAATAACAGAGTGGGGGGGGTTAGAGTAGGTGCTTGCAATGTGTAACAAGTACTTGTGAATAGGACTAAGGGAGCCTGGAAGCTAGCTTGGGCTTTGATATGCAGTCACAGGTATATGTTAATGGTTCATAAGCCTCTTTCTGCCAGACCTAAGGGGAGTGGTTCCTTTTCCTAGATGGGTACAGGTTTCACAACTTCCTGAGGAAGGGTGGCTTTCATCTAATTGCCAGAAATCCTTCTACTGTCCAGGTTGATGTGGGCCCACTCAATTTTGGATGAGTCAGTGGGCCTGCCCATCTGGTAGGGATAAGGGTACCCTTTGGAGCTGATACCTAGCAATGACTAAGGAACACAAGATGGGACTCTTGACTTATAGAGCAAAAGTTAATTCAACTGAGCTGGTTCTGGTGGCATGCACCTCTGATCTCAGCAGTCAGGAAGCAGAGGCACACTCATCCACACAGCAACTTCTAGGCCAGACAGAGCCACACAGTGAGATCCTATATCAAAACAAAACAACAAAACCACACACTAAAGCGTTAATTAGAAAAATCATTTATTTCTGCTCCTTTCATACATATTGTCTAGGAAACAGTCTCCCGTATGTGTCTGAAATGGCAGAGTCCCACACACCGTTTAAAGGCAAAGCACCACTGGGGGAACTGACCAGTTGTCCAAGTATCTCAGTTCTCACGATATACTTCCCGATTTGCATTAATTTCTGAAAATCAGAAATATCATGTCCAAAAAATGATAAGGGGGTTGTAAAAAATAATCATTTTATTCAATACCAACGTTTTAGAAATGGAGTATATTTTCTCTAGGAAGTAAAAAACTAAGAAGAAAATGCCACTTAACATAGTTGGTACATCGAAGAGGTCATCAGAAAAAATACTGTAATGAACGTGTCTCTGACAGCGTGAACCCCAGTCCTAGCCGGCATATGCTTGCTAGGGTGTCCTCAACGTGGCTTTTACTCTGCTCTTCACTCTTCTCCTCACCCACCGCACAGGGGAATGGCTCAGCCTCTAATGCTTCACAACAGGAGTCAATCCAGGATTCACTGACTTCCTCAAAAGGCACTAGCCCATCAGGTAGCCCCTGCAGAAGTAATTCATAAACACAGAAAGTGAACAGGAAGCAACAATTCAGAAGAGCCCGCTTCCTATGAATCAAATGACAATCCCCAATCTCCCTGCTATTTCACCATCACCTCTGTTTCATGCCAATAAGTAAGTGGCTTCCCGTTACTCTATCCTCTCAATGCAAATCACAAGCAATATGCGAACTAAGAGTATTAGTTTAAGTTGTGCTACATTCGTTTTATGCTGTGAAATATTTGTTTAATGATGCAAAGACCTGTTGTATTCTTTTATGTTGCATTTGTTTAACTCTGTGAAGCTGTGTTACTTTGCCTGTCTAAAACACTTGGTTGGTCTAATAGAGCTGAACAGCCGACAGAAAGACAGGAGAGAGGAACAGGTGAGGCCGACGAGAACAAATAGGAGAAATCAAGAGAACAGTGAGCAGAGCAAGAAAAGGAGGAGAGGCAGACACCAGGGGATAGACACCCAGCCACACAACCAGCCACTGAGGAAAAAGGAAAGAAAGGTGTATATAGAATAAGTCAAGCTAAGGCTGGGCATTCGTTAAGAATAAGTCTCCATGTATTTACTTGGAAGCTGAGGGTGAGGGCGGGCCCCAAACAGTAAAATAAACAAACAAAAATTAGACACAAAAGGCAGGAAAATGAAAAGACTATATAAAAGCTAAAGCTAACAATCAGAATCAATCTTTGGACTCTCAAAATTATAACAAAAAAACAAACCTCTTTATGGAAACTGACTTGGACTGCAAAGCCCCCATCATTACTAGAGGCAGCACTGGGAGTCAGGAATAGCACGCCTGGAGCTGAGCCTCTGAGCCCCCAAACTGTGGAGGTGTCTGCCCCTGTGGGAAGTGTGCAGAAGGCAGTCACAGAAGAGCTGTGCCCACGGGTGGCAGCAAATTTCAGATGAGAGTTCCTTTCCCTGGAGCTGGGAGCCAGCCTGAAGCCTGCTGAGGAATTGAATGTGGTCCTCGGGTTCCAGCCCTTCCCTCCTGCAATGACAGCCTGAGTAACACCACAAGGGATGGGCAGGGCCAGAACAAAGCTGACAAATGCTACATACAGTACTACCCACCCCAGAACGACTGAAAGCGCCCTGCACGCAGAGGCTTCTGTCACATGCCCCTGCCACTCATGGGTAGGCCTGGCCCAACCTCACTCAGTTTCCTCAGCTATAAAGTAGAGTTTCTGCGGGAGACCTGAGGAGTCTCTCAGAAAGGATTTCTGCAGCACAAGGTATGAGCATGTTGAGTTTTTTCACCTGTCAAGTAGGAATTAGCTCTCCTGGAGGCTCACTACAGTGGCACACACCAACAGATCAATGTGCAGCCAATACAGCCTTCACTCTTTCCTCCTACAGAATCTGCCCTGCCAATCTACTGAGAACTCTCATCTTACTCAAGCTGGCCTCCCCCGAGCGTGCTCAGACTGAGTAACATAAAAAGAGCCCTGAGCATGCTCAGACTGAATAACATAAAAAGAGAATGTATCCACACTGACTCAAAGACCCCAGAAATTCATTATCATAAAGTATGATGCTTCCAAACAGAAGCAAAACAGGGTAGTAATTGTCACAGTACAGAAAAGGCTCCAGATGATTTCAGCAAGGGTTCACATCAGGGCCACACAGCACGGTATTCAGTGCTTGCTTACACGAGGACAGCTCTATATAGACAGGTTCCTGTCACCTGCTGTGTGATGTGAACATGCATGCCAAAGCCCCCCACCCCCCCCCCCCTGCCAATGACAGTTAACCATTGTGGTTTCCTTCCTGAAGGCAACGTGTGACCTATGTTTGTGTGCTATAAACCTTAAGAAACATTGGGGAATGTTCTAGAGACATGGTTCAGTAGTTAAGAGCACTGACTGCTCTACTAGAAGACCTGGGTTCAAATCCCAGCACCTACTTGGTGGTTCACAACCACCATGGAAATCCAGTTTCAGGGAATTCAACACCCTCCTCTGGCCTCCATAGGCACCAGACATACATGTGGTAAAGACACATGTAGGCAAAACATCCATATACATAAAATAATAATACATTTTTAATTTTAAAAAAACAGAGAACATTAGGAGATAAAAAAAATATAAAAATAAATAAACCACTATCACATACGTTCTGGTGGAGAATCAAAGTAAACACCTTAGAATGCATTTACTATGGCCACTCCTTTCTTACAGACAAGATAATTCAGTAACCCTTAATTATTATAGTCAGGCTAATGAGAATTCTACAGATAAATACAATCAAAGTGAACCAAGAATTCAAAAACAAGAATTGGGACCAACAAAATAACTCAGTAGGTCAGAGTGCTTTGTGCTCAGTCTGAGAACCTGAGTTCAATTCCAGGGACCGACATGGTAGAAGGGGAGAATCAATTCCACAAACTATCCTCTGACCTATGCATGTGCCGTGACACATGCCCCCTACACACACACACACACACACACACACACACACACACACACAAATAGATTTATTTTTAAAAACTACAGATAGAAGCCACCATGAAATATCTTTTTTCTTTTCAGGGAGCCATTATTTCAACAGTCACCAAGTCCCTTCTACATAAGACTAGGTTAGCATTAACAGGAGTTTCTCAAGAGTGTGCCACGATTATATTTCTTTGCAATGTCCTAAAAGGGTGTTGGGCTTGGGATGTAACTCAGTGGAGAGTATCTGCCTAGATGCTTTGGTCCAAAATAAATGGTTTCTCATTCTACATTTTAAAGTATTTAATTTGTATGTTATGTGTATGCACCTGTGTGTGCATGTATGCGTGCATGTATGCCATGGCACACATGTGGGGGTCAGAGGAAACTCAAAGGAGTGAGCTATCACCTTCTAGTGAGTTTCAAGGATAGAGCTGAGTTCATCACTTAGCAAGGGAGCCTTCACCCACTGAGCCATCCTGCCAGCCCTGTTCTCATGTTATAGCTAAGAGCGTGAGACTGGACGGGCAGTTCACCACTAGGCCAGAGAAGAGCAGAAGCAGAAGCAGCACTGACAGTGCAGAGCCCATGCCTACTCCACCATCTTCTCCAGGGTCCAGGAACGTTCCCACTTCTCTTTTAGAAGCAGCAATGGTTCAGTCATCTCTTTCTGACACTGTGGCCAAACTCCAAGTTGAAATGGAGCTTTTAGGTTGCTCCCAACAACAAAGCACATTACACTTGGTGGCACATAAGCCCTTTCTCCCTTAATCTGACAGCCTCTAGCGATCTCTGCATTACTAACTGTATTGAGTAGATCCGGGATCTGAAACAAGGTCACTGAGCTGACCCGAAGTCTGGGGATGTCAGCAAGTGGCAAGCCCAGTGGATGCTAATTTTCCAGCCACTTCCTCTGCTACACACTGTCCTCGGCAACAATGTGACTGTCCTACGTCACCGGTGTCTCCTGTCTCACTTGTAAAAACTGAGCACTGGACTGACTCAAGATTCTACTTGCTGAAATGACCTCCATGCCAGACTCCTTACAGCATTCGTTTTTTTGGAATATAGCGCCAATTGTAGAAGCAAATGAAACAGACTCTCAAATACCAAAAGGCTGGCTACAGAGCCACCATGCTTTCTTTAGGCCAGGACTGACCTAAAGGGGGAGGAAGGAGTGGAGAATACGGCTAATAAGTACAGGGGCACAATGGATCGTCCTAACGCCCTCAGCACATGCGTCTGAATGTGTTTGTCACCGTCCTCAGTAAAATGTTCAATCACCGTGGCTCCAGTAAAATAAAACTTTTACTAAAAGGGTATCTAACCCTCAAATTACAGAGTAAGCAGGTAGACAACAAGAGGCCAGAGGTTGATACTAAAATAGGAACACACCGGTAGCAAAGAGAAGTGACACTCACACTGAAGTCATAAAGGAAAACTAAAAAGTAGTGCTACGTATAAACACAAAATACAAACAGAAAATCACCCTAAGGCGCAAAGGCAAAATTATACTCTATGCTCACACTGTCCTGCTGGTAACAGGTACAAACTGGACTTGGTAGCAGGTGCCAGCACTCTAGGTAGCTCAGAAGCCTGAGGCAGGAGGATCACTTAAGCTCATGAGCTTATAACCAACTTTGGTTAACACACTGAGATTATAGCTCAGAAAAGGAAAAAATATATAATTTCTGGGTGTAAATGTTTAAGGTGACAATAAAATGTAAGCGCTTTAGAAAAGATTTGAGGGCTTTTTGGTTGTTTTGTGAAGCAGGGTACCAGGTAGCCCAGGCAGTCCTCAAATCTACACAGTTGAGGCTGGCCTTGAACTCCTGGTGGTCCACCTCAACCTCTCAAGTGCTAGAATTGTCCACCAAGACAACATGGCTTAGAAAGAAAACTGTCAGTACTATGGGAAACGGCAGTCTCTCCCATACTAGCAGACTGTACCAGGCTATGGCAAATTCTTTCTAAGAAGCAAAGAAAAGAACAAAAAGACGTTGGAGTGCCCAAGGGGTCATACAAGGTGGCAGTGGTCAGAAGCATTCCCTCCGACAACTGAGAGTCAGAAACAGAAGCCTGCGAGACTACACAGCCACACAAATACTTGGTTGACAGACTCTTGTGTAAGACCTGCCAGGATTAAGTTGGGACTATGGCATCTTAAGTTGAGTAAGCAGCCTCACTGACAGTCTTGGGCATTTGAACCTTTGGTCCCCAGAAGATTGTGCTATTTGGACGTGCGGCCTTGCTGGAAGCCTATGTCACTGAAGCCTACGTCACTGAGTGCAGTGTCCCTTGCAAATTGCTTGGTCTATTTTGTGCTTGTGGTTCAAGGTCTGACCCTGGGCTCCATGCTCCACCACCATGGACTCAACCCTGTGAAGCTGCAAGCCACCTCGGTCACGGTGCTTTACCACAGCAGTGGAGCTAACACAGATGCTTACTATAGTTCTTTAAAAAATAGATTGATTACTGAACTGATTTTTGTGTTTGGCTTGCCAAAGGTAAAATCAGAATATATGAAAATTTCTATCAACTTCAAATTAAACCCTAACTACTTGCTTCATCAAACTTTTCTAACTTTCAAACAACCCCAATTAGAATCATATATTTCTACAAAACCTATGTACTTTTCTTCTAAAAACATTTTAAATTTCCTGAGTTCCAATAACTTTGATGGCTTCCAGTTTAGTGTTTTTAGGGAACTCCTGAGAGTGTGAACGAGTGGGTCTCTGATTCCTGGGCCTTTGCTTGGGACTCTTCCTTCTGTTGGTTAGTCCTGTACAACTGCAGTGGAATACTTTTTGTTTCATCTTAATCTTAATGTTAGTGCTATCTCTTAGAAGCCTGTTCTTTTCTAATGAGAGACAGAAAGAAAGGGAGGGGATCTGGAGAGGAAGGGAGATGAGTAGACGGAGTGGCTATTGTTATCAGGAGATATTATGTGGGAAAAACAATCTATTCTCAATAAGAAGAAAAAAACTTTTTCCTATCTTAAGGGACTATATTTCTTTGCTGTCTACTGCTTAATGGGGTTTTCTTCATGCAGGCTGAAATCCATATCAAAATGCCTGGGACCAGAAGTGTTTGGTATTTCTTTTTTCTTTTGCTTGATGTGTGTATATGGCACATGTGCGCATGCGTGCATGCGTGCGCGTGTGTTCACGCACGCACATGTACAAGGGGGTGAAAACTCAGGAAGGCTGGCTGGTCAGTGAGTTCCAGATGGCAGCCTGTCTCTGCCTCCCTAGCAGCAAATTACAGACATGTATCTTCGTCGCAGCTCTTTACATGGCGATTCAGAAGATGAACTCGGGTCCTCAGGCTTCCGTAACAAGCATCTCCCCAACTGAAATTTCAGACTCCAATATTTGCATATATAATGAGATATTTTAGGGATGGGATCATTTATAGCAACTGGGGGTGTAGCTCAGCGGTAGAGAACATGTCAAAGTGGCTAGTTTTATGTCACCTTGACACAAGCCAGAGTGAGTCATCTGAAAGGAGGGAGCCTCAGGTGAGAAAATGCCTCCATAAGATCGGGTGTGTAGGCAAGTCAACAGGGCATTCTCTTAGTCAGTGATCCATGGGGGAGGGCCCAGCCCATTGTGGGTGGTGCCATCCTTGGGCTGGTGGTCCTGGAGTCTATAAGAGAGCAGGCTAAACGAGCAGGAAGCAGCACCCTCCATGGCCTCTGCATCAGTTCCTGCCTCCAGGTTCCTGACCGGTTTGAGTATCTGCCTTGGTTTCCCTCAATGGACTGTAGTGAGTGAAATAAACCCTCCTCCCGAAGTTGCTTTTGGTCATGATGTTTCATGACAGCACAGTGACCCTAGACACTCCCTCACGTGCACAGCGCCCCTGGATTTGCTTTCTAGCATTGCAAAACTTTAAGCCCAAACCAATCCAATCATTTATGTTTTATGTCTCTCTCCATGTATCCAAAGGTTAACTTCATACAGTATTTCAAATAATTCTGTATGGTGTGGCATTTTCCACTGTGCTATCATACTGGCTGTCAAAAACTTTAGCTTCTTAGGTTAGGAATAAGCAACTATTTAATATTTATACTAATAATGAAAGAGCAGCAGCAGCTGTGGCTTAAAAATCCTCTTTACTGTTACTAATGCTACTGGAATCTGACATAGTAACCAAAAGGTGCATTCTAGAAAAACCAGCTACAGCCAGTCAGTGCGGCTGAGACAACAGAACTAGACTTTCTCATGAGCTTGCACGGGGAGAGCCAAGAAGACATACTGGTCTCAATTTTGTTACAACTATAACTACAACTTGAGGCAAGTCACAAATTTTTTAGTACTTGGACATTTTTTACCTTTAAATGAGTGTTAAATTAAATCTATGAATTTATGATATGATATCCAAGTAATTATTATACCAATTCATAACAAAAGTTAAATTGCTTATTATGTGAAGTATTTTACTTACGGCAATTTCATTCTCATGAATACTCTAGCCATGAAGAAACTCAGCAGGACACAGACAAAGCCAATGAAGAGAAGAAGAAACCTATTGAGTTTTGGAATATTTGGTGCATTGGATCGGTCCAGGATTATGAAACCTAAACCTCCCATTGTAAACAGGAAGCTAGACGCAAGTCCTTCCATAATATACTGTCCGTTTACTCTGAAAGAGAACACCACAGCAAAGCAAATGAATGTTACTAGAAAATTAATGTTTTTCCCTTTAGATTAAAATTCCTGTTTTTGCTACAACAGTTTGTGCTAACATTTTATTCTTAGCCTTACAATTATTTATTATGCCTTTAGATACTCATCTGTTCATACATTCAACAGGTATTTGCTGAGAAGTATATCACACTATCAAGTATTATTCTTGGTTCAGGGTATACAACAATGAACAAAACAGATAAAAACCTGTCTTGGCTGGGAATGTAGCTCAGTGGTAGAATTTGCCTATCACAAGCACACATAAGACTTAACCCAAGCACCACAAAAAACAAACAAAAAAGTAAAAAAATAAAATGTGGTCATCATGTAGCTTACTTAAAAAAGTTTTAAAATATCAACTATCAGGGTTGGAAAGGTGGCTCAGTGGTTAAGAGCACTGGCAGTTCTTCCAGAGGTCCTAAGTTCAATTCCCAGGACCACACAGTGGCACAGCCATCTATAATGAGATCTGATGCCCTCTTCTGGCAAGCAGATGTACATGCAGACAGAACACCATATGCATAAAATAAGATACAAGGTTTAAAAAAAATGTATCAGCAAGGCAGGCAGTGGTGACACATGCCTTTTAATCCCAGCACTTGGGAGGTAGAGACAAGTGGATCTCTGAGTTCAAGACCAGCCTGGTCTACAAGAGCTACTTCTAGGAAAACCTCCAAAAGCCACAGACAAACCCTGTCTCCAAAAAAAAAAAAAAAAAAAAAAAAAAAATCAGCTAACAAAATTGTCTAGAAAATAAACACATTTTACATATATATATATATGTATATATATAAAAACTTTAACTTTTCAAAGTTATGCTAGCTAAATTTCTATCACACTTTTTTTTCTTTAGTTTTTCAAGGCAGGGTCTCACTATGTAGCTCTGGCTTCTAGGGGCTCACTATGTATAGCAGGCTGGCCTTGAACTCAAGAGAGGTGCCCACCTCTGCCCCCCAAGTGCTGGGGTTAAAGGGGATTAAAGGTACATACAACTTCCTAACTCTATCTCACCTTTAATTACAGCTCTTAGGAAGCAGAGACTGGTGGGTTTCTGTAAATTCAAGGCCAGCCAGGACTACACAATGTGACCCTGCCTATAAGCAAATAATATTATATCAACTGCAAAGAAATTTGAACTAGCTGTGTTTACTGATGCCATAATAATTAATAAATCTCTCATCTCAAAGTATTAAGGCATGCATTCTTAACTAAAGCCCTATGACCCCAACATCTCTAGCAATCTGTCAACCCTTACATGCAAATTTGTGGATATGCTTGTATCTGATTTTTCTTTTTAAAAATTTAATTCATTTACTGTCATCTATGTATGTATCTGTTTAGGGGTGAGCATGCCATAGCACACATGAGGAGGTCAGAGGACGACTTGCTGAAGTCAGTTCTCTCCTTCCATCTGTGGGTCTTGGGGACTGAACTCACGCTGAGACTGGCATCGAGTGCCTTTACCTGCGGAGCCACCTCCACAGCCCACAGCTGACTTTTCAGGAATAGGGTTATGCTGAATTCTTAGAAAAAGCTAATTTCTGTCAAAGAGATGGCTATCAACAGGGATTATAGAGAAGGCACATGATATTTCTCATTAACTAACTGATTTCATTGAAAAAGTAATACTGTTTTAAAAAAACATAATTTCATACCAAATTCAGCTGGAATGTTATTGCACTGATGAAATGGAACTCATAAGGTCTCACAATTACATTTCTTATTTACCACATTCAGGATCTATAAATGTCTTTTCTAAAGTGCCCACATAACTGCCATAAAGGGTCATTCCCTCCCTATACATGAGACCCCAGATTTGATCTCCAGTCCCTAAATAAGCAAATACTTCAGGCCTGTAGTTCACATGGTTTATGCCACACTTACTCAGCTTAGCTTAAGAACAGCTATGGATAATAAATTAGGCACCCTAGTGGTGCAATCAGTGTGTGGTTTTTATGTGGTAATATGTAAATGGGTTTGCTAATTCCAATAATTATTATTTAGTAATAATGCTACAAAAAATGACTGTAGTTTGCTGACACTAGAACAGTCTGTCATTTTGATTTTAAACCAGCCTTTAGGTTGGTGATATGCCAATCAGTAAGAGACACCTGGCTTTCTAATAGATAAATAATACAGTTCTATTATGTTACATTCTTGCCTCCTTTGTCATAAGAAGTCCAAATTTCTAATTGCAGATAAGCCCCACAGCATTTTTACTGTACTTCATTTTTAATTTACCTGTGTTTTCTGATAGCCAAAGTCTCCTACTGACCCTAGGCTCACAATGTAGCCCAGACTCCCTAAAACCAGAGACCCTCCTGCTGGAGTTACAAGCATGTGCCATCATGCTCGTTTTTCTCATGCTGAATAATTAGGCATGCCCCACAACCTTCTTTCCCATCATCGAGCTGTTCAAAATGCTATCTTTTACCTGTAAGCCAAGAAAGCTACTGGTCTCTGATGTCCATGTTCATCAGTCATTGAGCCAACGCTTGGAGGTTCAACAATAACGTCATAGATTATTCCTAACGGAAAAAGACAACAGTACAGATTAGATTTCTCAGTTTGAAATCCGCCTCTAATTACATTTAAATAGGACTTATTTGCACATAAACAGGGTTGCTTTGACTGTCTTATTATAATCCAATCAGATCCAGCTAACATTCTCATCTTTGGATAAGCCACTTTAGAATGACACCTAAACAGATATTATCTCTCAAAGAGGTGCCAATTTCACAAAGGGAACTTAGTAACATGTGCTAATATTCTAGAATGACTCCACAAATAAGGGACATTTAATACTAGGGATCTACTTTAGTGCAAAAATAAAGCTACATATCTGTGATTTTAGATCTGTAAATTGAAAGAGGCTTAAGGAAATCTTGCTTTTTTTCTGGCTGGTTGAGAGGAGTTCTCACTTTCACTCTGAAGCAGATGGCTGCCTCAAATATGCTGACCTTCCTGCCTCAGACTCCTCAGTGCTGGGATGGCTCCGTCAGTGATCACTAATGTCAACCCCAGCATCTCACAATTCAGTAATGACCGACTGGCTGACCATGGGGATACACTCGTACCCCACTGTTCTTACACACAGGGCCTCAAGTATAGCTTTTCTTATGCAACAGCAGGTCTGTCTCCCTCCTAACAAAAGAATCAAAGAATGTCCTTACCTTCTCCCTGTCAAACCTACAAAGCCAGGCACCTACATTCACTCAGCTACATGAGAAAAGCCCCTCCTCCTCGGCCACCCCATCCCACTGGCCTTCTTAGAACTTCACCCCTGTGGATATCTCTTCTCCACCCCGTCTTTTCAAGCTCTTTCTCTACCATCGACCCTTCGTTCCTGTAGTTTCCTAACATTCTGTTTCTGCCCTTCTTAAACACACACAGTCCTGGAAAGAACTAAGCATTAGGCCTACATCTATCTTTCAGTTTCTGTCACCCTTGACAGAGCTGAGGTTGCCTGTGACCTCCAGGCTGTGGCCTCTGAGTCCCATAATTGTTCAGTCACTGTCTTCCCAGAAACACTTATTTTCTAAAAGGCAAACAAAACTGGGCAGATAAAAGACTAATTAAAACCAACCTAAACTACAGCTTCTTAAACTGTGCGCTGTAACACGGGACTGACACACTGTGGGTTTTGGGGAAATGCCACTAGTAAAGGTGTGTGCACACTACAGGGGAGATTAACTCTAAACTGTATGCATGCTCCACAGCCTTGGTTCTGAACACAGCACATGGATTTATTTACAACAGAGCATAGTCCACACTGCACAATGGCAAAAAACACTGCCTGAAACATCTGAGCTCAGTTTCCAGACTACATGGATTATGGCTGCTCTTACTATATATTACTACACACACACACACTTTGCTCTCCTACAGCATCATGCTAAGTATCAAATTAGTATTGCTGGACTGGACGGTATATTGGTTTTTAAAATTGCTTTATAAATGTCTTTAAACATTGTCAACTGAATCTTAGCTTCAAATTAGGGCAGAATTTACAAAACTTTCTGAGATGGTCCTAAACATGCTTCCCATGTCACACTACATGTTCTCAGCATTGGCAATTATAAATTCAAAATATTACACTCTGAAGGACACTGCGACTGCTTCCTTAGTGTACGGATTTGCTTTCAGTTTTAGGAAACAGTGCAATTGTGTGTCTACCAAACTACCATTGGAAAGTCAGTTTTTGTGTTACTATCAGTAAAAGTTTGATATGTATATTTTATACATCTATTTTACACCACCAGGGTTGTGCAAAATTTTCTCAGGCCAAAATGGATCACAAAGGAGGAAAAGTTCGAGAAGCCCAGATGTAAGTAAAACAAAAGGCACCTCGATGGCCTCCTGGTCCTACATTTTGTCCATAGTTTTTTTTTTTTTTCTTTTCTAGGATACCCCCCCAGCCATTCAAACTCAGGCTTACAGGCAATTTCTTCAGGAAGCACACAGAACGAAAATGGGGCTTCCAGCTCTCATCTTCAACGGCACTCTATGTAGCAGGAAGCAACTGTGTGGTATTTAACATGTCTCAACTACATTCTGAGGAGGGCTGAGTAATTACATTTTGTTTGCTTCTATCCCAGCGCTGAGTTAACAGAAACTCAGTTAACACCTGCCATCCTCAGCAACGCTGTTTATGTACAAAGGTATACTCACAGATTTTAGAAGACTGTCCTTTCCAGGGGTCAAAAGTAAGTGCACAAGATTCGGCCTTGACCACTACCGGTGTCCTTTCCACTTTGACCCTGGCTGGAGCAGAGTCCCCCCCAACCCCATTTACAAACACCAAAAAGGAGGCCCAATGGAAAGCTGAGGCTTCTAGAAAAAACTCTTGCCACCAAAAAGAAATGAGTTAGGAAACAGGCCAGCAAGAATGGAGACTTTTTTTTTTTAAAGCCAAATGCATTTCGTTTCATCTATTCAGTATTCACTGCTTAACGCTATGGGCACACCAGGTAATGCCTTTTTTTTTAACAACAAAAAAAAATTGATTAAAGTAGCAGTTAGCATTAGTGTTAAAGTAAGTTAGGCAGGGTGTAAACTCTACCTATCAAAGCCAAGTAGTATGAAACAGCAACAATCATATGGTCACCACCGCGCCAAAAACTTGAACCACTCTTGCTAACTTTAGATCTTTTTACTGTCCTGAGTTAGGTACCCTACATCCTAAACTCCAAAAGCACAATCCCGAGTAAACCCTGGAAATGGCGCTCCAAGGGCTCTCTGAAGACTGCAGACAGACTGCCAACTCATCAGTAGGCAGGGCCACACCCCTTTACATTTTAGACTTGAAGGGGGACCGGGTGACAGATACCCCAAAAGCGGTGTTCCTCGAGCCCCCAACTTCTGGAAGTCCTCTAAAACACACCCCCTTTTTGCAAGCCTCAACTCCAATCTCAAAAGCCGTGGTTTCGACACATCCCGTTCTCGCTCTTGTGACTAGAAACAAAGCAACCCCAAGACCTTGGAGCTAACACACTCGATGGGTGGGCTGTCAGGTCTCTTCCAAGGTGCCGGGGACCACAGAGAGACGCGTCTCAAAGTCCCACCCTCTCGGGCAGCCTCGGAGAGAGCGAGCACGGAGTATGAGGCTCCCAGGACCCCGACGGAACGACGTGCAGCAAGTAGTAAAAAGGAGAGCTGGGCTTGACAAACCCGGTCAACTCGTCTCTCGGGATGGGAGCCTGGAAGGGGAGGGCCTGCAAGGAGGAGGGAGCACTTCTCTGCAGGGCAGGGCGCCACCCGAGCTGCGCTCCGCTCCTCGGCCCGCACGCCAGCCGGGCTCGGCGGCCACGGGCCTCCGCAGCGGGCAGCCCGCTCGCCCACCCGACCCATCACGGCCGGGTTACCTCCGGTAATGAGGAAGTACGACACCACCACCAGGGCGTACACCGTCATGGCCGACGGCATGTGCACCCAGGGCGGCTTCTTCAGCTTCAGGTTGGGGCATTCGAGCACTAAGAAGGGGACTCGGTACAGAGTCTCCATGTCGGCGGCCGCGCGGACAGCACTCCGGCCTCCGGCCTCCCGCGCTGCCCGGAAACAGGCCCGCCTTCCCTAGCTCTTGCGCCTGCGTTAGCCGAGGAACGCAGGTCCGTAAAGGTCAGAAGTTGACAACCCAGCCACTAGGAAATGAAGCGATCGTATTGGGCTGTTAAGGGATATATTTTGGAAGGACTAAAATAAAGAATGTTATTTATCTTAAGCGGGTGCCAGACGCTCGTTTTCTTGCTGAAACATTGGTTGGATATTATACATCTTCCAGGACCTGTAAGGCATCCTACGTGGCCAAGCTGGAGAAGAGCTGAGGCGGGTGCCCACTGCCCCGCCCACTTGCTGACGACACACTTGGAGGCTGATTGGCTGCTGGAATCTCTACGTTCACAGAGTGGAGGGGGAGTGGGAAAGTTTAGAAACTTCTATTAACGTTGGAGGTTCCCCGGGGCTTGAAAATAACTCGCTGAACTTTTTCTTCATACTTTATAGCTATATGCTAGCAATAGTAACAGTTGTCAGTAATTGCCAAAATAGTATATTTTCCTTTTTTTTTTTAAATGCAGTCCAAGTCTACCGTTAACTGTGGCAGAGCAAAATACTAGTCTAAACGATTTGTCGTCCTCTCCTCTTCATCTCCTCTCAGTCAGCCGGGTATTGGAAAATGGTAAATATCGCTCAGGCCAAAAATCTTGATGTCATTCTGGTTTCTCACTTTAATTATCTGCTTGACGGGACGCTGACTTCTGCAGTAAAAATACTAAAACGGGAACGAAAAATACTACCACCCGGCTACTTCAGGTGTCCTTTGGGCAGGGAATCAAATGTAAACAAGAAAATACTTTACTGGCTGGAGGCAGTAATCCTGATCGATGAAGGGAAAACTAGACTGCTATTATAGAATAGCCAGGAGGAAAAATATATCTGGAATACAGAAACTGATTCCCACATCCTATGATTTAAAAATAAAAAAGCCCAAAGAACATGACAAGTCAATAGAGGTAGGAAGATTAATATCTCGGGCCATTCTGATTTTTTTCTTTTTTTTTATTCCTCTTTTTTAATTTAAGTTAGAAACGAGCTTGTTTCACATGTCAATCCCAACTCCCTCTCCCTCCCCTCCTCCCCTGCCCTCCCCACTAGCCTCCCCCGCCCTCAAGTCTCCCACCCAATCTCCACTCCAACCCTCAGGGAGGGTGAGGCACTCCATGGTGGATCTCCAGAGTCTGTCATTTCATCCAGGGCAGGGCCTAGGCCCTCCCCCAAGAGTCCAGGCTGAGACAGCATCCCTCGTTGTGGCATGGGCACTCAAAGTCTATTTGTACGCCTGGGATAAATACTACCCATAGCCCCATAGATTACCTAGGCCTCTTCACTGACACCCACGTTCAGGGGGTCTGGGTCAGTCCCATGCTTTCCACACAGCCATCAATCTGGAGTCCAAGAGTTCCCCCCTTGTTCAGGTCAGCTGTTTCTGTGGGTTAAACCAGCCCAGTCTTAACTCCTTTGCTCATCAGTTCTCTCTGTCTGACACTGTGTTCCAGGAGTTCAGTTCAGTGTTTAGCTGTGGGTGTCTGCCTCTGCTTCCATCAGTGGCTGAATGAAGGTTCTGTTTCCCAGACTCTGGTGGTGAGATTGTAGGCTGACACTCCCCTGGTCCATTTCTAAAATCCATATATGAGAGAGTACATAACATGTTTCTCTTTTTGTAACTGGGTTACCTCACTCAGGATGGTTTTTTCTATTGCCATCCATTTGCCTGCAAATTTCAAGATTCCACTGATTTTTTTCTGCTGAATAGTATGCCATTGTGTAAATGTACCACATTTTCTCTATCCACTCTTTGGTTGAGGGGCATCTAGGTTGCTTCCAGGTTCTGGCTATTACAAATAATGCTGCTATGAACATAGTGGAACAAACATCCTTGTTGTATGAATGGGCATCTTTTGGGTATATGCCTAAGAGGGAATTGCTGGGTCTTGTGGTAGGCTGATTCTCATTTTCCTGAGGAATCTCCATACTGATTTCTAAAGTGGCTGTACAAGTTGGCACTCCCACCAGCAGTGGAGTAGTGTTCCCCTTTCTCCACTGTCCTTGGTGTTTTTGATTTCAGCCATTCTGACAGGAGTAAGATGGTATCTCAGAGTTGTTTTGATTTGCATTTCCCTGATGGCTAAGGATGTTGAGCACTTTCTCAAGTGTCTCTTGGCCATTTTAGACTCCTCTATTGAGAATTCTCTACTTGTGTACTCCACTTTTTAATTGGACCCTTTGGTGTTTTGGAGACTTGCTTCTTGAGTTCTTTGTAAATTTTGGAGATCAGCCCTGTGTCAGATGTGGGGTTAGTGAATATCTTTTCCCATTCTGTTGGGTGCCCTTTTGTCTTGCTGACTGTGTCCTTTGCCTTACAGAAGCTTCTCAGTTTCAGGAGGTCCCATTTATTAATTGTTGATCTTAGTGTCTGTGCTACTGGAGTTATGTTCAGGAAGCTGTCTCCTGTACCAATTCATTCAAGGGTAGACCATTCAGATTTTAAAATTCGGGCCATAGCAGGAGTCCAGGCATTTAAAACCAGCTACTATTAGCATTGCTATGAGTAACAAGAATATGAAATGAGGACTGGCAGATGTAATAATAAATACTAACTGTGATGTTTAACCAGCCAGAGAAATGAGCACCGCAACAGTTACAACTATTCTTCCTTATTTTTTTTTTTTTTTGGTTTTTCGAGACAGGGTTTCTCTGTGGCTTTGGAGGCTGTCCTGGAACTTGCTTGGTAGTCCAGGCTGGACTCGAACTCACAGAGATCCGCCTGCCTCTGCCTCCCGAGTGCTGGGATTAAAGGCGTGCGCCACCAACGCCCGGCTGCCCGGCTATTTTTTATTTCATCTTTAATTTTGTTTTTTAAGACATGGTTTCTCTGTGTAGCTCTGGCTGTCCTGAGACTTGCTCTGCAGACCAGGCTGGACTCGAACTCACAGAGATCCACCTGCCTCTGCCTCCCAGGTGCTGGGATTAAAGGCGTGCGCCACTGCTACCTGGCTTATTCTTCCAAATTTTAATGTGAATACTTCTGCGTGCGTGGGTGTTTTCCCTACATATAAGTCTGTGTGAGGGTGTTAGATCCTCTGGAACCTGAATTATAAACAGTTGTGAGCCACCATGTGGGTGCTGGGAATTGAACCTCGGTCCTTTGGAAGAGCAGCCAGTGCTCTTGACTTCTGAGCCATCTCTCCAGCCCCTAATGTGAATATTTTATGCATAATCTTTTTTTTCCTCTTTCTGCCTCCTACTCCTCTACAACATGTCAAATAAAATTTACTAGTAACATTTCACTACTTGTTAGATAGCAAAAAAGGAAAAGGAATGATTATCAATCGAAAATGGACGGAAGGAGTTTTTTCCTGGGAGGGCACGTTAGGTTTTATAAAGGAGGACTGCATTTCCAGGGAAAGCATGATATTGCTGTGGAAATTAAGTATTGTTCAAAAATGTATATATGGATGCCAAGTTGAGTTGTAGCCTACTGTATTTCAGGAACTCACGAAGCCGAAGCCACATTGCCCAGATCCTTTACACTGCAGGATTATTTGTGCTTTTCTTCAACTTTCTTATTAGGAGCTGGGTCGAACCTAGTACTTGCATGTGCTAGGCTGAGTTAAAACGCTGGCCCACTGCAAAGTTCTTAGGTGCTCTGGGCCACAAGAAGCATCGTTAGCTTTAAGAGACATTATTTCTTAAACTAGGGAATAAACTTCCACTTGACCTTTACTTCTAAAACTTTAACAACACTTGATTGAAAATGGGTGGATTGGCCAGGTGGTGGTGGCGCACGCCTTTAATCCCAGCACTTGAAGGCAGAGGCAGGCAGATCTCTGTGAGTTTGAGGCCAGCCTGGTCTACAGAGCCAGTTCCAGGAAAGGGAATACACACAGAGAAACCCTGTCTCAAAAGAAGAAGAAGAGGAGGAGGGGGAGGGGGAGGGAGATGGGGAGGAACCAGGAGGAGGGAGAGGATGAGGATGAGGAGAACAGAGATTGGGCTGGAGAGTTAGCTAAGAGTGGTTTAAGAGCACACATTGCTCTTGCAAAGAACTCAGGTTCAATTCCCAGCACCCATGTGAAGGCTTCCTTAGGCACCAGGCATGCATGTAGTGCACAGACATAGGTGCAGGCAAAACATGCAAACACAATATAAAATAAATCTAAAAATATATTTTAAGAGGGAAAGCCTAACCAGCACAATTTTTAAAAAGGAAGTATTAAAGGGTCACAGAATTAGTAAGGTTGGGAACTACTGGTCTAAAGGAATATACAAATAGATGTGTATATGATGAAATTATAGATTGTGCTTTTTCCAAAATTGCAAGTATTACTTAGTTTGTATGTAATTCATATGTGTTAATTTTATAAACGAAAAATTTTAAATAGGTACCTGTTGTAACACAGCAGTTTCTTTTTGTTCTTAACAGTAGCACATCTACCGGAGATGTGTTCTATGAAGAATAGGTAGGTTTTTAGTATAACGGAGTATAGGATAGGTTTGCTTATATCCAAGTGAGGGTTGATATTTATTATGATCAAAAACTCAGTCCCTGGCCGGCTGGTGGTGGCACTCACCTTTAGTCCCAGCACTCAGGAGGCAGAGGCAGGCAGAGCTCTGTGAGATTGAGTTCCAGGACAGGCTCCAAAGCTACAGAGAAACCCTGTCTCAAAAAACCAAACAAAGCCAAAACAAACAAACAAACAAAAAACCCTCAGTGCTGTAAGTTCAAAGACAATGTCTGCTTTATTCCTGAATTCTCAGGCTGGTTCAGAGTAAGTCTGTGTTGAATGACTCAGTCAATGAACCTCTTCCATAGCTTCAGACCCTGCAATGTGTTATCTAATGATTGTGCTTCCTCAATCTGCCTTCGGATTGTTCCTTGCTCTGCTTCTCTGCCATCCCTAGTCCAGAGACATCTTCTCCTGCCTCTGGATCACCCCATATTTCTGTTTCTAAGGAAACGGAACAAATTTCATAATGTCCATGGAGATACCACCTTTGCTTCTAGAAACAGAGAAGTAAGT